AGATTTATAAAGAATTTAATTTCTGATCTAAGTTCATCTATAAAGTAAGATATATATAAGTGAGCTAGATAGGTATTAGTCAGATTTACTCTTCTAATTAATTTTCTAATAATTATAGCATATTATTCTATACTTTCACCAGGTAATTATTTTCTTTATTTTAATTGTTATTATCATTCATATAGTCAGTTATGATTTCTAAAATGCTTTTCAAATTGATATATGAATAAAGTTTCTTTTATATTTAGATTAGTATCATCAGTATAATCTCATATTCTTAACCATTCTAATTTATATAACTTTTTATTAGTATATTATGTGATAGCTAAACCTTTCAGATAAGTATCTACTATTTGAATTTTTCTGTTATTGCTAATACTATTAGCAATATAGGTATTTTTAAAGTCTTGAAGTCAATCAATTAGATCTTGAATATTATTATAAAATTCTATAATTTTAATATAATTGACTTTCTTTGATCTTTCTAGAGCTACAGCAAGTACTCTGATTCTATATATCAAATTTTCAAATCTATTATCAGTAGTTAATGAAGATGATATTTTATTCTTCTTATCTCTACTTATTTCTTCTTCTTTAGATGATATTGAAAAATTAAAAATTGAAGTAATAGGTATATCTAGAGTGATTAACTATACAAGTTGCTCTCATTATAGTGAACTCTTGATATAATAAAGATTGGCAATTAGTAAAGTATTTTTATGATACAAAATCATCACTAATAAATTTTTACTTAATATAGTGAAGTTATATAGCAAACTCTTGATATAAGCTATAGTGAAGATTTTTTTAAACTAGTCTAATAAAAAATCTTTCAATATAATGAAGATTAATTACGTAAAATTTTTAACTAATTATATTGGAGCACATGATATTATTTAACTAATTAGATTATAAGCACGTGTTTTACTTGTATATATAAACTTGGAAATAATTTATTTTCTCATTATTATGCCATAGTCTTATCTTATTTTAGCTAGCTTGTCCCTTTTCTCTTTGTTATAATTGCTTTTTCTATCCATTTTCCCATCCTATTTCCCATTTTTTTACTATAATTCATTCATGGAAGGCTTGCCATCATCATCATTCTCACTTCCATCGATGTCAATAGCAATAGTAAAGACCTCATCATTGACATAAATGGTAAAAGAGCCAGCAAAGAAAAAGCAAATAAAGATAAAACAAATAGAGTCAAAAAGAAAAAGCTTGACTGGTGCTCAAAAAGCTGAAATATACCATTTAAAACAGAAAGGCCTTAGTCAAGTCACACTGGCGAATCAATTCAGTATGACTGAGGTAACCATTTCAAACATCCTACATGAGAAGACAAAATGGTTATCCCTTGATCCAATTTCGTATAATGCTATCTTGAAATGACAAAGAGCTCCAAAATTCCCTCTGTTGAAAGAGATACTCTTCTGTTGGGTATCATGAGTAACTACAGTATTACAAATGATTACAGGCATCATAATCTAGCGAAAAGCAACTTAACTTGCAGACCGGCTCAATGTAATAGGTTTTAATGCTTCTGAGAAATAGCTCTCAAACTTCAAAAAATGGTTTCATATTAAAGAATATAAGCATCAAGGAGAAGTAGCAAGTATACCTCTCGAAGAAATCCTCCAGTTCCAAGCTGAGCTCCGCGAAGTACTTAAAGAATATTGACCCAAAGATATTTATAATGCTGATGAGACTGGATTATATTGGCATATAGAGCTGGATAAATCATTAGCAAGTACTCGCTTTTCGGCAAAAAAAGGCCAAAGACTGAGTCACGGTCTTGCTCATGTGTAATGCAACTGGTAATGATAAACTTCCTCCATTATTCATTTATAAGTTCTGAAATTCCAGACCTTTCCGCAGTATCAACAAGGACACCTTGCCTATCTATTACTATTGGAATAGTTCTGTCTGAATGCAATCATCCATTTTCAATCACTATATCCAAAAACTTAATCTTCAAATACGGCTTGCTGGTCAGTCAATCCTTCTCCTTTTAGATAACTCCTCGACACATATTCTTGAAGAAGACTATACTCTATCAAATGTTTGGCTTCATTTTCTTCCTCCAAACACAACAATATACTTACAATCATGTGATGCAAGAATAATTTAGAGCTTTAAGGTGCAATATAAGAAAATTTTCTGCAAAGATCATATTAATATCTTTGATATTTCCTTAGAATCCAATATACAATCCAATCCAATAAATATCAAGAACATGATTGATTTCACTGCTGTGGCTTGGCAAAAGGTAACTTCAAAAACCATTCATGACTGTTGAATAAAAACTGGCATTTTGCCAGATGAGTTTCTCCATGAATTATTACCGGCTAAAGAGCTTGGCGAATTCTAATCTCAACCTAAACTTAACTCCAACTCTATCGATAAGATTCAAAGTTTGATTAGTCAGTTACCTCTTGATTAATCTATGAATATGTGAGAATATATAATGGCCAATAATAAATTAATTGCTACTGAGATGCCGATAGATGAGAAAATAATTGTGGCTGTAATGAATCATGACTGTGATGAACCAGAGAAGATAGTACTGGTATCAGAACCAGTATCTCAGATACAAGCCTCAGTATTTATCGATAGTATTCTTTGCTTTCTCGAGTAGCAAGCAGATGATGAGTTTGCCATTGATGATTCTTTTGTCCAGGATTTAAAAAAATTAAGGAAAGAAATTGATTTTAAGGATATTTCTTTAAGATGACAGGTTACTTTAGATAACTATATAAGCTCCTCTCCCCCTTAATAAGCTATTTATAAGAATCAAAATCTATTAAAAATATATGATTAAATATGATTACATTATTATGAATAAAAATATGCACTATTTAAGATTAATTTATTTTTAAGTCTCTTGATATAGTGAAGATTCAGGTCTCTAAATATAAACTTCACTATATCAAGAGTATCAAGAGATATTTGCTATAGTGAATCTCTCGTTATAGTGAAGGAAAAGTTATGTCCCGATGTCTTCACTATAACGAGAGCGACTTGTAATATTCATTAATTGAGCGTAAAAATAGCTAGTAAGTTTTTTAAAGTTATCCCGAACTACTGCTGAATCAACGAAATAACTAACGAGGAACGAGCATCACATATTAACAAAATCATTGTCAGATAATGAGGAAAGAATAGTTAAATTTTCACAAAATATGCAAATAACAATAATAATTTATGTCAAAAATTAACAACGTCACCATCATATATGACAATTTGATTGGTACAGTATTTTAAGTTTAGTAGCAAGGGAACATAATGATATTATAGTATTTTAATGAATAAATTAAACTGACCATAATGTTTATTATAATTACTGTGCCGATATCTACGGGCATCATTCTGTGTGTGCAATTTTTAGGAGAGGAAAGTAGGTGAATAGGAGATTTCGGGTGTGAAGACTAGATTATTCAGGGGAAGTAAAGGGAAAAGAGAGTATAAATTGTTTGCTTTTTATTCTATTATTTTCAATCAATACTTTATCCAAATAAAAGCCTTAAACTAATCTTTCAATCAATTACATTGCCTTTTCTAGATCAAGAACCTAACCAACACTTTATCTTTTCTGGCATAAAGAACCTAACCAATATGACAGGATTACAATTATAACGATTATGACGTCTTTACGAAGGTATAAGTATTTTATTAATTGGAAAGAATTGTATGCAATTACTTTTTGAAAGAAAACTTTTTATTTATTTCGTTTTCCATTGCTTTCGTTGCTTTTTTATCCATTACATTATTGTGCATTTTTTGTTAAAACATAAGGAAACACTAGTTATTCTATATAATTACACGTCCATTTGTTCTGAACAATAAGCAAGCGATTACATGATCTATTGTGCGAAAAAAATATACTGCAAGTTATGCAATCGACTATCTTGAGAAAGGGGCTGCAGTTACGTGATCCATCGCGAGCATGCTGGATGTATTGAACAGGGGCGCAGATGCTGATCTTGTCATAATTTTTTGAATTAACGAAGCAATAATAACAATGTATAAGCCACTAAAATATTTAAGTCACGTGAACCCTCTGTTATGAGGCTAGTGACTATATACAAAATCCTCAGCAAAAAAATCCGTTGGTAAAATCCATTATAACAAATATTTTTATTAATAAAAAGAAATGGATTATTTTAAATCCGTTATGACAAGAAATCCATTGTGGCAAGGTTCATTGTAACGAGGTTTGACTGTAGCTGGAAAAATTGGATGACTATAAAAAAGATATATTATAAAGAGAATTTGACTATAGAGATTTGATCATAACTTAAAAATTATTAAAAACAAGAAAGATAAATGCTAACAATATTATGTAAAAATACGATACGATAAAAATAATCATGTTTAATTCTAATACTAAAAAATATAGATTACACGTACTGTGTATTACTAATATTTTATTTTATATTTCTAAAATTATAGTTTGAGAAAAATAAAAATTGATTTACTTGTATCCCGTCATTAATAAGAGGCATTATCGGAATCTTGCTGGAGTTTGTATTTCGTTGGCATTATTGAACTAAGGAAAAACTAGAACTTTTATTTTCGGCTAAACTTGCAAACCTTTAGGATAACATAAGTCTATATAACACTGATATCAATCTATTATTACATGTATAAACCTTTCGTTATAGCGAGACTTTTAATTAGAGTACATTTGGTAGATATTATTCCAGTTCACGAATTAATACTGTATCCACGAACTGTCGTTCAAATCTATTATCCAACAACTTCATTATTTACTCTTGAAAATTCGTTAATCTCATTATCGTTATTGTTAGATAATATAACAACTTCATTATTTACTCTTGAAAATTCATTAATCCCGTTTCCATTATTGTTATTGTTAGATAGTTTAACAACTTCATTATCCACTTCATGATTTCTTTTTAATCGTCGATTTCTCGCGCATAGCCAACTACCCCCAAAAACAGCAATAATTAGGAATAAAGCCCCAATCACAATACCCACAATAGCGCCAGATGTTATATTATTATTTTTAGGTTGTGATATATCAGAATTTGATTGTGACGGTGATGAAGGTGAAGATGAAGAACTTGGGCTTGAATTCGAATTGTTTGGTGAAAGAGATGAATCAATTGTCACGTTGTTTATGCTAGGTAGTGTGAAATTATCATCTGGGATATTAGTAACAATATTTACAGAATTTATCCAAGTTTCTGTTGTCATATTGAAAACTATCATAGTATCACTTGTATTATCTCCTGGCCGAGTACCACCATGAATCTAAAATAAACGAATCGAATAAGCAAAAAAGTTGAAGTCAAAAATTTTATAATTTTTCTGAAAATTAACTTACCAATAACGCATCTGACCCAGTGAATTGAGCAGATGCTGCACGATCTCTAATGAAAGGTGTATTTACGCTGGTAATCGCTGAACCAAATTCTAAAATTTGTAAATCAAACGGCACAATATTGATCTGTTGCAGCCGATTATTCGATCCATCAGAAATTGCTACGATATACAACTTATTATTAAGTACGCCAACACCAACATCTGCAGTTAGAAACGGGAGCTGATATGGTGGTACGATAAATTTATTTGTTGCAAGATTGTAAATATAACAGTTATTGGTGCTAACTTCTTTTCCATTTCCAGACGATTTATTCGCTCCACCAAAGATAAATGCGTTTCCTTTAGCATGAACAACACCAGCCGAATTTGTAGGTACTATGATACTCTAAAAAATTATTCATCAATTCCATGTTTGTATCTTATAGAAATAAAGATTTTTTTTACTTACATCATGCTGAATTCTATCCCATTCCCATCCATTGGTAATATTTAAAATATACACACCAGTTGACAAAGTTGTCACATTTTGCGGCAGATCAAATAATCCCGCCCAAATAAAAACAATTCCGGGTGAAATCAATGTGGCTCTTGGCCTTAATAAATAATATTGAAATTCTGGAGGCCTTTTACTTATCCAATCCGGATTATTCCAAGTATTGTTATTAAAATTGAAGACTTGGAATTCTTTTCCGGCATTTGATCCATCAAAGGTTCCTCCACCAAAAACTAATAAATATCCTAATGTCTCATCAACAATACATCCCGGATCAAATACTGGCCTTGCGTTTACTGTTGTCATTGGGCTCCATTGAATTGAATCTGTTGATGGGATTGGTATTTGAGTTGTGAGAAAAAAATTATCGCTTACGATGTAATGATCTGGTTTAGCACCGCCAAACATATACAGATTGCTTTTGTATGCTACTAAACAATGGTTTGCACGAGCAGTTATAATTTGACTTGAGCAGATCTTTATACAATTAAATATTATTAAGAGAAAGGTTAAAGAATAGGAACTCATCGTCTTTATTATGAAAGTAATAAATAATGAGAAAGAACTTGTACATGTATTTGGTTAAATGAATATTATTATAATGAAACTAAAAAAGAAATGCATGTATTAAATAACACAGCATATCCATTCTGAATAGGCAATTAATTAATTGCATGAACGATAAAATGAGTCTTTCATATTGTTATGAACATGAAACAACATTGTTTCAGTCTAACCTATTTTTGGGATAGTGATACGCAGCATTCCATAGCACGCAAATCTTTGATCATCCCCGGAAAAACAAATCCGTTGTTATTTCACCATGAATAATTTCATGTATGAACTCTTTGGGGCTTAATATTTCGAGACCCAGCGATGAAAATCGAATATGAAGGCCATATTTCAATTCAGCAGAACTAGGGAATCGAATGGTGTGCTTCGCATTCGAATCCCATCGCTGGGTCCCGAGATATGGAGCCCAAGGAGACGGGCGTGTGAATTTTAATTTTTTTAAAGAACGATTTTTTGCAGTCTCTTTGGGGCTCAGTATCTTGAGATCCAATGGCGGGAATCGAGTGCGAAGCCCACCATTCGATTCAACAGAATCTAGGAATCGAATGATGTGCTTTATACTCGATTCCCTCAACTGGATCACGAGATATTATAAATTGGTTATTAAAAAATTATGTGTACAGCTTCTTTGGGGCTTAATATCTCGTGGTACTGTGGCGGAAATCGAGTGTAAAGCACACCTTTCTATTTCCTATATTCTGCTGAATCGAATGGTGTGCTTCGCATTCGATCTCCATCACTAGGATCTCGAAATATTTGAAATTCTTCATGGTGAAAATAACAATGCATCATGATGAGCGTAAACACCCAGAAATTGGTGAAAATAGCAAAATTCATGGGGCATTCTTATTATATACATGTATGTATATCAAACATTTTATTAATAAAGAATTAGTTTATTATTAAAAAACTGACTAATATACATTTGAATTTCATCCATATTTTAAATATAAAATAATATAAATTTTGTTTCTATCAAAAAACTGACTAATATATATTTGATAATTCAGGAATAAAATTAAAAAAATTAGCAAAATTAGTTTAATTTCTGACAAAAATCCAACTAATATCTATTTGAATTCTACTTATATTTTGAATATAAAAAAAGAAAATTTGACAAAAAAATAAAAATAATTAGATTTTTTCAATTTAAGTTTCATCTATATTTTGAATATAAAAAAATGAAAATATAATTAAATTTAGGCAAAAAAACTAATTAATATTTATCTAAATTTACTTATATTTATTTATATTCAAATTATAAAAAAATTAAAAATCTATTTATTTTTAGATAGAAATTCAGCAACTTCAGATTTATTCTGAAAAAAGATTGATATTTGCTAAATCTAGTTTAATATAAAAATATGTATTTTTATTGGAAAAATACTTGATTTTTCCTGGAAAAATTCTATTTTTTATCTGAAATTTGTCAGATTTTTGCTAAAATAAAAAAAATTAGATTTATATCTGAAGTTTGTCAGATATAGTTTTTTACTAAATAAAGAATAAAAAGCTAGTATAATTAAAAAACTTCTTAAATCAATTAAATCTTATATAAATATTCTTAAAAAATATATTAAATATTAATAAAAAATTATTTAGAAATATAAATATTAATGAGTTTTATAATTATTTTGAATAATTTTATATTGATTATATTAATTAATTGTTATATTAAGAAAAGAAATTCTTCTAAAATATCAAACTAAATTTTATATTTTATTTTAATAATTAGATCTTTATAATATTTTTAAATAGTTATATTTTTTGTAAATTATCAATTTTTTAATAAATTATTTTATAAGATATATAAATTTAATAAGATATTAGTATAAAAATCAAAGGTTTATAAAATAAATCTATTATTAGAATTTAATATTTTTAGATTAATTCAAATATATTTAATAATCTTGCAAAAATTTGAAAAATTTAAAAATTTAAAGTTTAAATATCTTATTAATTTATTAAAAAATATTATTTTATTAATTTAGATTTTTATTTTATTATATTTATAATAAAATTAATTAGTATATTAAGAAGTTATATTTATATTTAAATAATTTTTTATTAATATAAGTATAAATATTATATATAATAAGTTATAATTAGTATTTTTAAGTAATATTTTTTATTAAAACTAGTATTAATTATTCTATTTCTCAAACTTTTTTTATTAATTTTTATTTGAATTATATATTTTTTTATTAATCTTTTTTTTATTTTATTTTCTCTTTTATTTTTTATTTTATATTTTTATTTTATTTTATTTTTTTATTTTCTTATTTATAATATAATTTTTTAAAATCTTTCTCTATTATTATAGTAATAAATATAAAATTCTAG